CAAACAGGTAGCAGATGTAGGCTCTGAGATTGAGCATCTGCCATTTACTGAGCCAACCTCCATGAGCAGTGATTAGACAGCCAAGCTGATGGAGAGAGATCAAAAGAGGAGGAGAAGAGAGGAGAGGAGAGAACATGTGAAAAAGAGAGAGCTTGAAATAAGAGGAAGACAAACCATATATCATCCATTAAGGTCAGTACATTTTGCTTACAAAAGACAGTAAAGACAAACTTTTAACAATCTGTTGGTTAAAGATAAAACAAGTTATAATATCACTTCAAAGTATCCTAGAAATAAAATAACATTTAATAAAAATGATTTTCACCCTACTCTATATGAATTCAACCATTTGGATTTATTTGGTGTGTGTTCAGTAAGTATGTAGTATTGATGTGGTAAACACTAATATAGACAAGACTTGGATATTGTTCGGGTCCTCAAAAATGTTCAAGCATCATCTCAAGGCTCAAATGCTGTGGCCCCACATCAATGGTAGCGTATGTGACTAAACCTGTCATGGTAACTTCTTGCCAGCAGATGGTACTAGCTGGGTGTTAGTAGAAAAACAGTAAACAGAAAAACAATAGACTCTTTCTGTTGAGAATTTACTGTCAACGAACCGCTATTTACCTGTGACACATTCCCTACTACATCATTTATTTCTATAAAGGCGACTCAGCTGAAAATAAATCAATCATCAATGATCTTCCTCTGAATTTTACTGTATCTCTGAAGAACTGCGTGGTTTCACAAGGAATCTAAAAGCAAAATATCTGATCTGTTCTAGGTTCAACTACTTGATTCAATAACTCATGTTTTAAAGAGTTCGGTCTAGACCTGCTCTATTTGAAAAGTGTTCTGAGATAACTTCTGTTATGAATTGGCGCTATACAAATAAAATTGAATTGAATTGAATTACATATTAATGAAATTGATCCTGATTGGTTTTATCATTACTTATTCTAAAAGGATTTTGAAAAATCTGATTGACTAGACGTGGCATTCAATAAGTTCTATCGGCACATCCACCTGTACGCATGGGCAATTTTTGTCATTTTGTTTTGTTTCCGTCGAGTTGTGAAGTTTGTTTTAAGATGGCTTAACAAGGTCTTAGTTTGGTATAAGAGAACACTTCAGAAGGTGTACGGTTGTATTTTAATGCGGAAAATAGGTGTTTTTCTTTTCCTTTCTTGACATTTGGTGAGTTTATTTAGTTTATTAAGCTGTTAGAGCTCGCTGTATGCTCATCTCCCAGCTGAAACTACTAAGTCGGTGTTTAGGGGGTGTTGGGGGTGCTGCTGCAGCACACAAGAAAGAGGCGAATATACCGGCAAATGCTGAACAAGTGTATTGCCAGTACTTATAACTGGGCAAATTCTCTTGTCTATCTCACACACAGATTTTAAAGGCTAATGTCAATGTAATTTGCAAGAATCTACCGAAAACAGCCGTTCAGAGCTAAGAAAGGTAGAAAGAAGTTGATTGTCCCAGCATTGGTATGACCTGGGAATGAGACTCAACAAACGATCTTTCTTGGCTTTAATTGGTTGTTTTTGTTCAGGCCCGATGGATTCTTGCAAATGCCATTAGGACAACTACTTTTTCAGGTTATCTGTCTAATGTAGTACTGTCAGGATGTAGTGAAAGTTTCAGCAGATATGACTAAAAGTTATTTTTATAAAAGTTACCTACTGCAGCTTTAACTGAACAGTTGATTAAAAGTTATGTACTGTTATTTGTATGCACTGAATATAATACGAAACATCCATTAAGTATGTCACTTGGTCAGGAACCGTCAGTTTACTCAATGGTAGGAAAGGATCTGGTCTAAATATCTGCCATTAAAAGGTCTACTGGCGTACTGATATTAGCAACCTGATAGAACTTTTTCACAGGAGTCAATTTGACAGTAACACAGGTGTTACCACTGATAATAATTAAGGTTCTACTCCATTCCAAATCAAACAGTCCGGTTGCTGCTATTATGCATGTTGACTCTGAAAAGGCTCTGCTGCACTAAATGGAACTGTACCTTAATTACCTTACTATTTCATGTCAAAATGGCAATTGTGAAAAGGGTCTATTCTCAGCATATCTCGACCTTTAAAGCAGTCAGGTTAAATGAAAGCAGCTGTGTAAATATATTACACGTCTGCCCAGACCCAGTTGAGACTAATATCTCAATACACATTACTTCACTCAGTATAACCCTATAATTCTTCTACTAACTGACAATTCACCTTTATCACGTCGCAGCCATGTTGAAAGGAAAACGAAGCTTGGTTGGATACCACCTGTGAAGACTGGCCCTTGCTGCTTTGCTAACTTAGCTTTATACATTAAAACTCAATAAGTGTATCAAGATAACACATAAAGTAATGAGATAAAGCAACAAACATTTTTTAACACAGCAGACGCAATATCCCCAACTCACCTGTAAAATGTGAAGATCCCGTTTTGGTTTAACAGTAGCATCCTCTTCCTCTCCTCTTCCTCTCCTCTCCTGCTCACATCCTCAAAGTTTGATGAGCTCGCGCGCTCTGCCCTGTCTCACTGCATGAAGTCACGCGGCTCACACATACAGCGACAGTGACACCTACCGGTGGTTTCCTGGTATTACAGTTTGAAACTGGCATTTGTGATTGAAACCAACCCCTAGTTCCCTCTTTCAATGTGGAAAACGTTGAAAACTCTCCACATTTTACATTTACATTCAAGAAATCAGCACATGGGAAGCACACAGGGGGAAGACGATTCAGAAATGGCGTAAAAATAAAAATTACATAATTCTATACAAAACAACATGGACTGCTGGCATGATTGCAGTAGTCTCCAGGTGAGGATAAACACTATGCAGACACAAGGAACCCTAGAAATGAATGCATAAAATACAGTGTGAAGTGGTGATAAGCTAAAATTAATATAACATATTGATGATATTTCTTATGGAAACACTGCTGGTTAAAGTTTGTTTGAAGGTGATTTACCCTGCAGGCCAATGCAAATCATATTAATACACAGTACTAAAACACTTTGCCTGACAAGATATATAGCTATACCTATATGTGAAATGATTACAAAGTTAGTTGTCATTAATCTAACTAAATGTTAATATGTTGAGAAAATACCAGATCTATAGCCAATAACAACATCTCAAAAACTAAATACCATGACACATGAAAAATAGATAGAAAGAACTTGAAAAATATCAGCCTGCACAATCTGAAGCAGCTCATCAATGCAATAAAATATATTTACATTGCATGTTCATCCCTTATCTCATCTGTCTCAAAGACATGCCCAAATCTGTATGTAATTACAGTAACTGTTAGCAGGCCAATGCTGAGTGAAAAAAGGTTTTGGCTTAAATTTTAACTATTTTACTCGGTCAAACAGAACTTTAATTTATTGACATAATGGGATTTATACTTTAATGAGACAGCAACTGAAAAAAGATTGTGTAGTGTTAATGTGCAGCCAGGCAGGTAAAGTATTAACAGCTTATGGTTGAACATACAGTGCAACGATAGCAAAGCCTTCATTGTTTTGATTCTCTTGGTACAAAGCAGGGGATTTCCATTCTGACTCTTTATCACTTCCATTTAACTTTTATGCCTGTGCTTTGATCCAAACGTTCCCAAACCTGATCATAAACACCATGTGAGACATGGTATTTAGTAGAGTTGGACCAGGCGGATATAGCACCAATTGACGTCACAAAGGGTTTCAAGAAAATAAACAGATCAAGTGCAGTGTAACAGAGAAAAAACACAGCATAACGTGGGGGAAAATAGTGTATTAATTCCAAAACTTAAACTCAAACATCTTTGGTCTATATAGAGTCTATAGAGCTCTGTACCACCTAAAAGCTGAGAGGACCTAAGTGACCCACTAGCAATAAAGGGATTTACAGGGTGTGAAAAAAGGGGTTTTAAATTCAGAATTAGAAGGGTAACTAGTGTATATTGATAATATAAACCCATATAAAACTTGATATAATGTGAGACCTTTAAGTAGACTGATCAGAAACAAGAAAGAAGCAACCACTCAAGTAGCGCAAATCACATGCTATTACCTCAGTGATACTACTAGAATTAGCCAACCACCTGCAGTTGTATGCCTCCGCCAACCTGTCAAGTTGCAGTTTACATCAATGTCTGTCAAGATTCATAGAATATATGTGGTGAATAACACTACACAAGTGTATTATTTGGCTGAATAGAAGTTTGCACAATATTGATAGTACATGTATGATTTCAGTGAATATGCACTTTTGAAGGATTATCATAGACGTATTTGCTAAACAGGTACACGTGTACTTGATTACTATGTTTATATGGATTCTTAGAGAGTATAGCTATAGAACACGTGAGCTTTTGTTTTCTTCTGCCATTTTAAGCTGCAACCGTTCTCTATGAGCTGTAGGTCAAACTAACACCATTAGCTAGGCAGGCTCCATTGCAGTCATGTGATTCCGATGACACTCGACATTCAGAATGAGGCAGTAAGTGAAAGACAGAATGGATGAGATGGAAAGATGAAAGCCAGTACAGTGCTACTTATTGTTTACTCATTGTGCCATCTCAGTCAACATGTGCATGAAATCTGGAATTACTAGATTCATTCCTAAAGTAAAAAATTACAGCTAAAAACCTATTTTGAAGCAAATATGACCTTTGGGTCATAAATGTCACCAACCCAGTGACCATCCAACTGTGAAATATGGTCACAATCTTAAGTTATGGTGTTGGATAATAGCCAAACAAGTGTTTTTCCAGGATATTATGATGTCACAGTGGAGTTTGGACTTTTGATGTCCACTCAGCTGTCATCATGTGAACAGGTGGATGCAGGAACTACAGTGGGTTGCAGTAGTGTTGGTTAGCACATGCCATGAGCTCTGCAGTAAGAGTCAAACTGTCTGCCTGCACTGGCTGTCAGTGCTTGCTCCATCAGCCACTTACTAGTACTACTAAAGCAAATGTCAAAGCAAAACTCAGTTATTTGTGCAAAATTATGTTTTTATTACAACAAATAAATAGCTTGATTTTGCTCAAATACAAACATTCTATCTCTACTTATAACTGGTATACAAAAATAAATGAAATGATACATCCGTTTTATTTGTACAATCTTTTCATTTTGTTTTTTAAGAAAATCCTGATCAGTAAATTCCCTCAGAGCTTCAGATTTAAAGTGCAAAGTGTGTGATAAAGTCACTACCGCTGATTAATGAAAAAGGATCATCTTCAGGTTCACCGGGAACTCTGTCACTCATTCTGTGGAGATATAAAAAGAAAACAGAATTAAATATATGAATCTGTATACTAGAATAATTCAGTTGCAGCCATTACATGTCATATATATATTATAATTTCCCTTTGGGGATAAATAAAGTATTTTCTATTCTATTCTATTCTATTCTATTCTATTCTATTCATGCCTAATCCTGCTAGACTCAGATAGCGTCACCTGCTCTAAGTTAGACTCCTAACCTATTACACCTCTTTATCAGTTGCTTGTTCCCATATTAAATGTGTGACATATTTTATGGATATTTCATATGATATTTAGTTGTTGTTAGGTTGTTTGTGTAAATTCTGAACAGAAAATTTCCTTTAGGGATCTTTTTAAACAATTCTTTGTCTCTATTATGTATTTTTCATAATGTTTAACAATCATACATACAAAGGTTTCTTCTTTAACAAATGCAGTATTTTTTTTGTCCCTGGTGCTTGGCCAATGCAGAAATATAGGCCCACTGTGTATATTTTTTAAGCTTTCTAGCACGCCTTAAAATCAAGAAGGTCTTGCGACACCCCATGAAGCTGTGGCGATCCCTAGTGGGGTTCCCGACCCCTAAGAAACCACTGAATTACTGGGTGTGAGCAACAGTTCTGTTGGCTAAAAAACACATTTGCCATAAAAATACTGAACTGATTTGTTAGGATTCCTTGTTGTGTTGTAAGGTATTTAGGCATTGTTAGGTATTTTCCCTCTATAGCTACCAGATTGCTTCTACTCACATTTGTACAGAATACAGAGAATTACAGGTCTGTTGCATTAACATACTGTACCTGCATTTGTTCATATACCCAGTTGAGGAAGTAGGTAACATTGCCATAGACTCCTGGCTTGTTCCTCCAAGCACATCCAATCCCCCAGCTTGTGTCCCCTGCCAGCCACCATACATTTCCCTCTTTGACCACCAGGGGCCCTCCACTGTCACCCTGCAGCATACAGGAGGTATATGTATCTTAGGTTAGTGCATGTGGGTCTGATTTAGGCTACCTTTTGGGACACATCTCAGACCAGTTATTGGGGATGGCTTGTCCAATTGGGGACAAAAGCTGAGTACCCAAATTGGCAAAAGGTGATTTTTAAGTGATTATGGTTAGGGTAAGGGTAAGTCTCCAGGAAATGAATGTAAGTCTATGTAGTGACGCTAAAAGTGACATAAGTAAACATAAGTGTATGTGTGTGTGTGTGTGTGCAACACAGAGAACAAACTCAGACAAACCTGACACGTGTCGACTCCTCCCTGCAGGTTGCCGGCACAGATCATGGTCTCAGTGATTTGTCCGTCTAACACATCAGGTTTGTTGCATATCTCTCTGCTGTAAATGGTCACCTGGGCCTGATTTAGTCTGTCAGGAGATGGCCCTGGGGAAAAAAATTAATGATTGTACACCCACAGTTAGCTCAGTCATGCATAAAAAAGCACTGTTCCCTTACTTGCACTTTAAACCTTAAAAAGCAAATGACCCCTGAAACATTTTAACAAATAATCTACAGGGAGGGATGAAAAGTACATGTTCAGAAAATGTTTGCTGGTTTCTCAGTCAACATGGTATGTATTCTCAGACATATACATACGTAATGTTTGGCTCACCAGATGAGCGCAAGGTTCCCCATCCTGTAATCCAGGCTTGCTGTCCAACAGGGAGGTCCATGGCAATGTTTGGGAGACACACTGGCTTCACTGTTCCTGAAAGAAATGTGTATCATCAACGTGGGAAAAGACCATCACAATTCAATTAATGAAATATGGATTTTACTGGCAAGTGTTTACTTGTAAATGTTAGAGGTGTATCAAGCTTTAGGAGAGCAATGTCATTGTCATTAGTTCTAATGTCAAATTTTCCATGACTAATGATTTTGTGAACTGCTTTGCCAGTGTTAAAGCTCAGTCTTGCCAAGCTCACGTCACCAGAGTATACCATCCACATTCCAGGATCAGAGTACCTGCCATGAGGTAGAATAGTCAAACATGAGGAACACAAATCTCAAATTCTTTTCTGAATGTCCATCAAAAGACAGTAAAAAAACAAAAACAAACAAGACAAATGACATGAAGGGCCTAATGGTGTAAAGACTAGGCACACTCACGTATGGAAGCAGTGTGCAGCAGATAGGATCCAGTAAGGGCTGATGATGGAGCCTCCACAAATATGTTGATTATAAATCTGGAGACTGACCTGCCATGGCCAGGCCCCGTTTACTGCCTCCGTACCACCCACGATACGAGTGCTGGGGGCTGCTGAACTCTCTCCACAATCTGAGGATGGAGGAAAAGACTTCTTGAAAGATATTTGTTCCCCCTTATCCAGAGGAAGTCTGGATAACTAGCCACTGCTAAATCCCATTTTCAGGACATCTTTGCACATATCACCTTAATTCATACATATTTTATTGGTGTAGTTATGGCCCTGTTAAACCAGTAGCTTACCAATACAGTGAAGTTTGACAGCTCTGGCTGAGCAACTTTGGCTACAAAAAAAAAGGATGACAAAATTATTTTTCAAGACAACCCGAAACAAGATAGTAAACATTTATTTTGGAGCTGCACAGCGGGAAATAAGATTGCTTCAGCTCTCAGTGGGAATTTGTAGTGATACATTAGGCAGGCTGTTATACCTGTAAGTGAGCTGTGAATGTATATATGATTCATGGTCACTTCCAGTCTTCAGCTTCATGTATCCCTTCCAGGCTTGAGAACCTGCACTGGTTTGGGTATAGGACACATAATCCTGCCTGCGGGATGAAGATAGACACAAGGACAAAGGTAAGAGCAATAAACTAAGATTGGGGTGCAGGACCTTTAAAAATGGTTTTTATATCAGCCAGTGAAGTCATTTGACGTCCAGGCGCGTTTCCAGAGGGGTGGGGGGGCTGAAGTGGCATTGGCATACTGTATTATCCTTACCTCTTCCACCCCTGACAAAACTGGCATGGGGGTGGAAAAGGGATCTTTTGACCTCTGACCTCAAGAAATCAGAATGAAAATGGCTTCTATGGGTACCCACAAGTCATCCCTTTGCAGAAATTCACACTTTATTGTAATTCAATGCAGTTGAATGCATGTGGTATAAATGTGTTATTTCCGCATAGTGTTTTTTTATATTTCTGCATACTGGGATCCATAAACAGTATTGGAATTGTATAAACTGGGACTGACTGGAAAACTGAGACACGTATTTCTTGTCACCCCTGTATAATTCAGTATAGTTATGCTTGCCATGGGGGTGGTGGTCAGTCAGATTCCCATGAATCAGACAAAACTAAGTGGTAGAAACACTACTGCTTTTGTCCAAAATGGATTCCCAGAATCACAAAATGAACGTTCCTTGTAGGGGCTCCAAAGGTCCAGTGTTGAATCTGAATGTAGCGGCGAAATTGCAGATTACAACCATTTGAATACAGTTCAGCCTCCCAAGTGTGAAGGAGAAACTACAGTGGCTGCAAAATTTATGAAAAATGCTCTTAAGAGCCACTGTTTGTTGAAACATGGCGGTTCAACATGGCTCCGTAGAAGGTGACCCACTCCCTCTGTAGATAAAAACAGCTCATTCTAAGGTAACAAAAATTATATAAGATTCACATTTTCAGGTGATTATACACTAATGAAAACCTATCTATGGATATTATATTCAATTACTGCCCACAGATCCCCCTAAATGGTACACACTGGACCTTTAATGAATCAGTTCAACAGTTTAAGCAATTAATACATCAACTGTCACTTAAAACGTAATATGTGTACTGGTTATTGCTGCTTCATGTTGCTGCTAATCTTCAAATAATCTCAATGATTTTTTTCAATGGCAGGTTTAAATGTTGTTTCAGAGGCTTTCCTTTCTGAACACATGAGAACACATGATGGTGAAAACACTGAAACCTGTAAGGTACCAGCAGCAACATAAGCTCTGGCTTTCAAAAACCCATTGCTCATGCTGTATGTGTAGCCTATTTTATACAGCAGTAAGACAACAGGGGACATGAACAATAATGAAGAAGACAATCAGCACCTCTTGTACCCCATGTGCTCACACACAGCTCTTGCATAGTTGTTATCCCAGTTCTCTGCACACACCGGAGTCCACATCTGGCTCTCAGATGAGTAACTTTCCAGCATGAAATTGGTCCCATGGAGGCGGACTGTGAAGCACAATACAATACAATACCATGCAGTTTACTGATGTGATGGCAGATACAGTATGTATGTATGGAAGAGTGGGAAGTTGATTTGAATGCCCTACAGCACTGGGATTCATCCTCTCCGTGAGAACAGTCCCTAACACCATCACACCACTGGGAGGGGCTTAGACACTTCCCACTCCTGCACAACGTCCCCAGTAAACACTGGTAGTATACTGCAAACACACACAAACAGTATAGAGTTCACATACAAGAGCACACAGGAATCTGCTTACATGATCATCACATATCCAAAATGATATAATGAACCTACAAAGATCTTCAAATTCACTTACAGAAGTACCAGAGCAAGAGGCCAGCCACTGCCAGGACAAGAAGCACACACAGAGATGCACACAGTATATATTTCCAGTGACATGTCTTTATTCCTGCAAGGCAAGACCAAAACAGTCATCAATAGGGCTGAATTATATCTGGTATATATGTATTCAGTGGTAAAATTGGTTATGTAAGAATTAAATGCAAAATTGCATGCTCTTCCAGATTCACATAGTATCACACATGCAAATATTAGATTTGAGTTGATGATAGAAACTCTACTGCAGAGATTACAATCTAACAGAGTTAAGCCATTTCTAGCACTATGCTTCTAAGAAAAATTCCATTCTCAATTGTCTTTTTTATTCTTATTCTTTATTCTTATGCTGATTAAAAGTTGTGCTATTTGAGACTGTACGCTGAAGGGCGTGTCTGTGGCGTGAGGTCAAAGTTGGCCATTTTGAATTCTGTGGTCATACAAACTAGATTAAAAGTTGTTTTCAGCTATTTGTGACTGTATGTCAAAGTTCCAGTGACGACTTGTCGAATTCAGCCGATTCGCCATTAAACAGCATAACTTCAGTGTGCAATGTCCAATCTCCAATAAACTTAATATATTCTGTAACAGTCTCGCCCTGAACACGTCCTCATAACTTCAGTGTATGTGGTCCAATCTAAATGAAACTTCACACATTTGATAAGAGTCCCGCCCTGAACACATCTACATGACAATATTCAGACATAGTGATAGGGCCACCAACTGGCAACAGGAAGTAAGCGCTGCGTGGTGATTTTGAGTTGATTTACGTGAGATTTTCATGTTGTTGTCCGCACATGTTACGACAGCACATGACGCGGCCGCAGCACGCACCGAGTTGCGTGGAGTGCGAGGTCCCGCCCAACGCTGCTTGCAGCTTTAATTATTTTTAATAATTAAAAAAATCATAAACACTTAATAGGATTCTTTTTTTTGACACATTCTGTATTTTCTTCTCCCTGATGCTTGGCCATTGTTCTATTAGACATTTACTTTACTTTAGACTCACTTTTCTTCACAGAAGTGAACCAACTGCTGAGATAAAGGCCTACTTTTTTTTTTTACACCTCTTAAAATCAAGAAGGCCTTGTGACTCCCCAGGAAGCTTTGGTGACCCCAAGGTCGGGATGATAGAACAGTAGCATAAGTAGTGCAGAATCATAAAGTGAGAAAACTCACTCTTATGTACATCATAGATGGTAAATAGATGGCATAAAAGTTCAAAATGTGATTGTACTGATTAGAAAAGTGTGCACCAGATGAATGAACTATGTTTACCTTATGAATTGCATTGCATCATATTCTTTATTTCTTATTTCTTACATTGGCCTCAGTGATGGAGATGCACATCCCTAGTACACAGCAATATCTATTGAATGTTTTTTAACACTAGCTTTATTAGCTGCAATAAGCTAGTACTAGGCCAGTGGCTCATGAATTCAACTTTTCATTTGTAAGAGGAAGAATATGTTATTTAACATTTTAAGAGCTACATCCACACACTTCATGTTCACTTTAACACGTTCTGTTACAGTGAAGTTAATGATTCTGTGAAACTACAATAGATGTCTGCATTCATATGAGTGGATATTTGCCTTGTGACAGAAGCCATTGTTTACCCACATTTCCATTCCACACCGTATCACTTTACAGAGGGCTTGTGACAAAACTTGAGTCAAACAATACTGTACCTTTCCTTTGTCCTGTGTTATGTGGCATCCCAGGTGTTGCAGTGTGGTGAGTGTTGATGGTTTGGGGGGCAACAGCAACATAGCTGGGGGTCTCTTGTGGGAGGGTAGGGTATATACCCTGCTGTGGGGCAAATGGAGGGGATCTTCCTTCCTCCTGCTGAAACCCCATGTTGTCATAGATGGGATAATTTGTCTGGAGGCGCAGTAAAGAGATGGGAATAAAAACATTTTCTATAGATAACAGCAAATAAGCATGTGATCTGACTGTACTCAGAAAAATCCTTCATTAAATGTTAGCATATGTAGTAAGCTAAGTAAAGAGTTAAAAAAAGAGAAAAATATATGAAAACAACAGACATTCAGAGACGTTGCCTCTCACTGAACTTACCTGATTAGTATTCATACTGAAACTGGTTACACTGCCTGGGGAAGCAAATTTGGAAGAGTTTCTTCTGCTTTCCTTTCTTGTAATAAAAATGTTTCAATTACTGGTCACAAGAACAGTACATGACACATATTGACACAGAGTAACAATCATTCAAGCGATATCCATGAAACAAAAAAATCACTGAGCAACTTGTTTATTAGAATGTTAGGTCACAAGAAGTAACTAACCTAAACACATTAATACTCATCAGAAAAGTACAGTGCCAAAACTGCTCACACATTACCCAAGCAGGCTGGCTTACTTTGACTTTACAAAAAATTCCACCTACCTTGAAATTCCCACAACTTCCTCCAGTACTCTGATCCTGTCTGTCACTGCACTCCCTGTTTCTGTCTCATGTTCATGCCATGTAATCAACATCTATGACCACACCTTTTTCCTCTTCCTGCACAAGCCAGCCTTTGGTGCACCACTTCATTAAAACAACACTTGACATGGACAAACAGCAGGTATTGATGAAGGCCAGCACTACTCATTATCTTCTGTTCACAGGCAGGCTCTCAGATAAGGTAAATGAAGTGAATACAATAAGCACAAGGCTGTGTTTATCCAGCAGTGGGCTCCATTGATTTGTGACGGAAAAGCCTATTTCAGTTCAGCAGTGTGATATATTGTGATTCATATGCATCATGGTCCTGTGTATCTTACTGTACAGGTTTATGGTAACTCTGTGCACCAGTAATTACATTCCACCTGCCACATGTCTGAGCAGCAAACATCTGTGTGTGATGTTTCAACATTCAACAACAATACTCCTGCAACTGTACAGAAACACAGCCATAAATCAAGTGGCAATTTCTCGAAAGTTACTAACATGTTAGGCAATGCTTTCCAACAACCAAAGTTGCCACTCCTGTTACGATCCCTGTGTGACGGAAGAGAGAGAGGAGGAACTAGAGGAGTCAAAAGCCGGTAAGTGGTCACTGCTTGTTTGACATACCAGAAGCTGCCATTCAGACAGGGCTTTATAGGATAAAAAAAAAAAGTGAAAAGGCATAATAGACTTGGTTCTTACTTTATGCAGGCTTTTGTTTGTCCTCCTAAAGAGCGTCTTGTGTGTTAATCAGTAACATCTGAACAAATAGCCGTGCAGGCTCAAAAATACAGATGACCAAAGGACTTTCAAACCTGGTTGATATTTAACCCAATGCCTGACTGTGTTAACTGGCAGGAAAGAAGGGAATGAAAGCAAGCATCATCCAGCAAGAGACTGTGAACATAACGTCCTACTGAGTGACATCAGCTCAACCTTTGTATATGGTTTAAGGTATTGCATAAGTACATAAGGGGGGTAGATGTACAAGTCCTATGACAGCATTAACGAACTTTACATCATTACATTTCTTATGATATATAAGACACAACAGGAAACAGCAGCTAGCTCGTGCAAAAGCATGCACTGCATAAAGAAACAAGGTCAAATGTGATCCAGCAAGAAGTGTAAATGTACAAACTGAGGGGATCACTAGCTGTACATTCACTTATTATGGAATAATACAGCTTGAGTCAAAAAAAGTTCACACACCCCACCCCTCAATTTGTAGCAATCATTAACAATGACAGAAGGACCAAAACTAATTTTAAAAGGTACCATGTTGACTTTTAGTGACATAAAGGTTAGAACAATATCATCAGAAATCCTTTCCCTATATAAATCATATTCATGCCACTTTGTCCCACTTTATATTTTCCACCCTTGTTATCCAAGCCCCCCACAGTTGGAGAACAACTGGCCTTCAAAGCTCCATGAAGGTGAGCTGTAGATAAAAATGGCTCATTCTGAGGTAATAAAGACAATGAATCTTATATTCAGGTGATTATACACCAAGTGTATATATAATAGTATATTCCATTTCTGCCAATTGAGCCATCTAAACATTACAAACTAGATCTTTTTTAGATTTCTTTTTATAAGCTCAGTTTTATGTGTCCATTAATATCATTTTAATTAATTCTTAAACTCTTTCTGATAAGTTCCATTTGATACATTTCACCTCCATTGTATTGAGGAAAAAAGGAAACAGCAGACATTTTAAAGACTTGTCAAACCTTAACCACCAGTTACTAATGTTAAAAACACATGATGGCAACAAATACATAGAAAACTTGCTGTATATAGATAATTTTCTTCTTCAACATGAACAAGTAGTAGTAAGCACTACGACAATTGCAACATCTAGTGGCCAGCTTGAAAATTACAGTGCCAAATATATTACTGTAATATATTTTTTTAGATTAAGCATAACACAGAGAAGAGTAATGATTTATTGCAGCAATTATTGTAGGTCAAACCTTCAGTAACGAAGACAATCAATAAAACGACAGTGGTTTCATAAAAACTATTTATTGAACCATCACTTCAGAGTTAAATATTAATCTTCAATAGGTTTTATCAAACAAAGGAGTGTTTTAAACACTGGAGTCATGAAGTCATGTGAGTCAAGTCCTACTTTGCTGTTTGAGTAAGGCCACTGGCATTGAAGTTGTAACAGATGCATTCTTCACAGTAAAAGCAGAGTTTACAGAGGTCTTAACCATTTGGAGCCAACAGGTAGTCCACACACAGATTAACGAAGAGTGTTTCAGGGAGAGACAGAAGTTTCCTATCAAGTTTCCTACAGTTTCTGGATCAGAATGGATGAAGCTCCACCACCTCCATTGCAGATGCCCGCCAGCCCGTACTGGCCTGGCTTCAGGTTGTGCACCATGTGACCCACAATTCTTGCCCCAGACATCCTGACAGGAGACATAAAGTATAAGTTAATATCCAGGACATTTTTGTACATTTACTGAAATGTATGTTCTAAAATGCTGTTGTGGATTTTCTGTGAAAGTGCACAGGAAGAGATGTACTGAGTCTTCTCCAGTTCCTGTAGTTTTGTTACAAATAAAGCTTCACAAAGCACTCCCTCTGTCCTCTGTGACACAGAAGTTGATGTCATTGCTTTTCCAGCAGTGGAGGAGACGAGAGAAGCCACTCTTAAGAGGCGCTGCAGCAAGGACCCAGACCCACACATGATGAGCCACCAGGGCACCCCAAATTAAAGATTTATTCTGACCAGTCCAGAGTTAGTGATTATTAGATCAGTGGAAATACTAAGAGTGAGTTTTATTTTGTCTCTGTCCATCAAGTTATAATGTTGTTGACATTGATATGTGAGGTACAATTATTGTTTTTGTCTATGGAGTCTGGTGGCAAACAATAGCAATATTACAGCTGTGTCAGGTTAAACAAATGGTCTATGCTTTTAGGGATGCTTTCCATAATGTTGTCAGATGCTTAGAATAACAATCTGAGCCCGTCAGTGACTAAAACCAGCACTGTTAGTTGACATATTTTGAAACATTAGCTTACACTGCAGCCCTGTTCACACATATTTTCACATCCAACTCTGTGAATTAAGGCTTTATTTTGACCAAACCAGCGTTGGTTGTTGAAAAGACTGTGGAAAAACTATCTAACTGGTTTTACTGGGTTTTATTTTGTTCTGTCACATTGATTTGATCCGAGATGCTGATGCTCTAGGCATTCAGTGGCAAGTGAACTTTGCATTTATAACCTTTAAAGTACATACTTGATACTTGAAGAAATACAAACAAAAGCCACTCATTTAGAAATGATTCACAAATCCAAAAGAATCATTTAGTTTAAAGATTAAAACAAGTGATGCAGCAGTTAAATGCTGGCCTTTCTTGCGTTTTGATGTCCATAAGGTCAATATACTTACTTTTTATAATTTGTCTGAACTGCTTTGTCAGTTAAAGCTGAGGAAAACAGGAAACTCCTCGTTCCTCATCTGCATTTCATTTAATCCTGGGAAAATCTAAGTGGTAGTATTCGTTTTTTTCTCTTCATTCCACGACACATCCCCTCTCAGCTGCTTACCCAATGGGGTGTCCCAGTGACACAGCTCCCCCGTTCACGTTGACTTTTGCAGGGTCAATGTCCAACATCTTAATGTTGGCCAGCACAACCACACTGAAGGCCTCATTGATCTCCCACATGGCGATATCATCCTTCTTCAGCCCTGCTGCGTCCAGCACCTGACAGACATGGTGGAAGTGTGAGGAGGTTTCATATAGAGCGTATCTTTTGACAGTTTGGAAAAATAATTCTCTTTAGGACTTTAACACTCAAAAAATATTAGATATGCCTCTGAACCTTAGTGACAAACCTGGATCATCAAATTTGGATTTTTCCATTTTATATTGTGCACGTTTGATCAGAATCCAGACATTAACATAAAACATAACAACGCAACAAAAAGAAAATACTCAAGCAAAATATGAACACTTTCATGTTCCCTACCCTGCCAACTGCCATATTTCCTGGGATGAGCAACTTAAATGTATAATAATAATAATAATAATAATAATAATAATAATAATGCCTAATGACTGGGGATCAGTGTACTAGTAATATTACTTTCCCCAGTAACTAGTAATGTAACTAATTAAGAATACATTTCGGTAATTATATTAGTCACCCCCGCCCTTTAGTCTGAATTCTGGGGAGAAAGGACACTTGTACTTATAGTGTAACTAATTACTCTTGGCAGGGAGTAATAAGTAAAGTAATATTACTTTTAATAAGAGAAAAGAGTAATAAATAAAAAGATTTAAGTAACAAGCCCAGCACTGCTGAGGATGTCACTGCCAGCCATTCACTCTATATCAGAGTGAAAATAAATAAATAAATAAGTAAGTAAATAAATAAGTAAGTAAGTAAGTAAAAAGTAAGTAAGTGTGCCAATGATTTGACATCCAGGATTAAAGAATAGACAGATTCTCTAACACTAAACAATCTGTTATTGGAACTCTCCCTTATCAGCAAAGAGCTGTGTACAAAACATTTAGCTGGCAGCCACTCCTTATGACTAGTTAAAATAATATCAAAGCCAATAAGCCAATTAATTAATTAATAATTTAAGATTTGAGCCTGTTTACACCTGGTATTAAAATGTGTCTTGTATGATCCGATCAAAAGGGGACCGTTGTAGGCGACCACCAAGAAGCACTGTGATCTGATCACTCGGACCACTTGCAGAGTTGACCACGTATCTTTGTAGTGTAAATGCTAATGCGTCCTAGGCCACGCACAATGACATCATGTAAGTGCACACCAAACACACTGTCTATTTAGTTCACTGTAATGCAAATGATGTGTTTGTTTTCTTTAACCTGCTGAGATAAGCAGCAGATGATGAACACTGTCTGTTTCAACTGATTTGACTATTGAAGTAGTAAGCGCAATATCCGCAGACTCCCTTAAAAAAAGAAATCCTTTTGAAATATTTTGAGTGAGTTATTATGTGAGGAGGTTACAAGTTATTTCTTACTTATTTATTTCCCAGCGCGTTGTCTACTAGACAGCGGTACAACCTCTGCTGCCATCCACTGGGAGTGACTCTTGGGCTGGCAGCCCGTCAGTAGCCCGCTGGCAGGAGAGACGCAAGCGGGACGTACACTTTTACTTTCTCTAGCATTAATGCTTTTCTTCACCATCTGTGCGGGGTGTGAGGTGAAAAACATCAAATTTACACACAGCTTCGCCTCTCCACCGGGGCGCACATAAAAGCAATGGGCTAGTGTGCCGCTGAACTGGAAAAAAAAAAAAGAAAAAAAAAAGTAATAATGGAGACTGACTTTGTCACTGACTGAAATTCTAAATAGGGTTCAGCCCCATAGGAAGTGACATCCGATCAAAAGTGGAAACTATAAACTGACGTACTTAAAACTGTTCACTTGTGATGTGATCACCAAAGACACACGTTAACAGCAGGTATAAACAGGCTCATTGTGGTTTAAAGGCTAGAATCAGGACCTTCAGTATCTGGATCTAGTAGACCATGAAAGACAAAGTGTTTAGAAAGCAACTGCTGTTATTTCAATGCGTTAGTCTATGCAATACATATGTAACATTTAGGCTAACATATCAGAGAGTATCAGATTCGAC